GTAATCATTGTTATGTTATTCTTCGAAATAGTATCGATTTTATTTTCGAGATGGCGATTTTTGATGCAGCGAATTTAATACCAAGGCAACGAATTTAATTGCTACACCTAAATAGATGAGTACGAAGATATTTAGAAAAAAAAAAAATTCTTTGAACTTTATCACCGAACTACGGACAACCTTATCGTTCAAGTTTGACCCCGAACAATTTCCAATATCAGTCATAGCTTGGTAACGAAGTATCGGAAACACCCGTTTTGCCTTAGGCACTGTTTTATCGATTAAAAAGAATAAAACAAAGGAGAAAAAAAAATAGATAGATATATATATATATATATATATATATCCTATATGTCGAATATACACCGGAGATACGGTTGTTGGAAATCTACCTCTGGAAAATTCACAGAAAAGTCAGAGTTTTCTGTATTTTCATCTCAACGATGTTCACTTGCAAATGTAAATGCAAATGTGACTTGCACGCGAAAGAAAAAAGAAAAAGAAAAAAAAAAAAGAAAAGAAACAGGACTCGCATCGGGGTGAAATATTCGAGGTTTTTCTCGCTGTTATCGTAACGCTATTTTGATCTGTCCACGGAAAACATTGTTTCAATTATTATCAAAGAGAATAATACAAAAAAGAACTTATATTTCAAAGCATCATCGAATATGTTATTCCGTTTAGAAAGCTTAGATATAATTCGCGATAAACCTGTACGGTCATAATAATCCTTTAAAACCAATTGCATTTTGAAGTTTGTGTTTCGATTCGTTCGCGCCTCCTTTTTTCCATATACTATTGAATTATTCTCTCTCTCTCTCTAAAAAAAAAAAAAAAATAATATATGAATATAAATAGAATTTATATGAGACGCATGAAACTTAATTTAATATCCAACGGGACTAGGGTAACGGTTTAAAAGCAGCTCAAGTTTCGGCACAAAAAGGGTGCAAACTTCGAAGGAAATTTCACTTAAGAACTATATCTCTTAATGGAAAAGCTTCGACGGCGTTAGAAGGTTCGTAATACCTAATCACCGATCACGTGTGGCACGCCCATCTATTTACACACATACACGTAACACACATAGATATCTAGAAACGAAACACGTAATCGCGATCGACGTTTCATTACCGTTAACAATTAAGACTCACCATCGTTATTACCAGCTCGCATTTTAAATTGAAATCCCGTTTTATGGTGGATATAATAAATAATAAAATCCTTGCACTATTATTATTAAACATAACGACACGATTATTCTACGCGTATATTTTTTTACATAAAGATATATAACATTGTTGTCAGGGAACGTACATCGATGCCAGATAGGTAAAAGTTTGTCGCATAAGATATGACAGATAATCAAGGCTTCATTGTAGAACGAATGTTGTATAGATAAAGAACTGCTCATATTGATACAAAGACGGGTTTTACCTCGGCTGATGGAAAAGGGTTTTGTTCTTGGCATGTATTCATATGTAATCATTTGCACAGTGAACCGCAAATGCGACCTGTACTGCTTCTCTCCTAGGCTGAAAACGTCCGCCGCGGGATGTGCCACGTCTCCGTTCGTTTACGAATAACTAAGAGGGAACGAGAAAGGGGTTGCTGCATCTGTTAACGATCATCTTTCTGCTACGTACAAAGCTTTTTCCGTAAAGCCGCTAAGTTTCCTCCTTTTTCATTCTTCTTCCTCTCCTCCTCTCTTTCTTTTTCTATATTTTTTTTTATATACATGTATGTATATATATATAACACGTATTTTTATATTAAATATACAAGCCATGAGATACCTTCATTCCATGTGAATGTAATACGCGTAAGAAAAGAGGAATTAATTAATACCGATGAACTACCATCCCGGTCAAGTGATAATACGTGTTATGATAAGATTGATGAATATTATCGTCCGAAAAGAAGAAAAACTGATACCGCTTAACTTGAGCCAAATTGAAATGCTAATACGATAGATATACATATATATATATATATACGATAAGGGGATATAAATGCGGATTATTTAAATTGAAGAAGTTGAGTTATTACAATAATTAACTTTTCGAAAAGTTATCGCGAATCTTTAGAAGAAAATTTGTCGAGTTACGTGTACGTATCATTTATGGTGGTTCGTATATTTCAATGATTACGCGATTAAAATTGAAGATAACGTTTCTACGATATCTCCTCTCGAAAAACTACGTTTTTCGTACTCCGACAAAAATACATAAATCAACGACTATATCGGGAACGAAGCGAAACTAATGCATTTCCGTTATGGAGAAAAAAAAAACTCTCAGATAAATGCCAGTAAATCTAGACGGGCGATCGTTTATTCTATCATTGGCTATGGTGTTTAAAACAGGGGTTCTCGACAAGTGGAAAATTTCCCCCTAAAGGGAAAGGGGGAATTTTAGAATTTCAGGGGAGAAATTGTAAACGCTATTGAATAAAGTATTATATATGTTTTATAGATTATGTACGAACTGTAGAAAATGAATTCTTGAACATCCTTGAATTATTTTCATCGGTGAAATTAAATGATTATTTAAAGATCAGAAATATTAAAAATAAAAATTAAAAATAAAAAAAAAAAAATAACAGTTAGACTATCTCGAGAAAAAGAAGAAAATGATACTCTAAACTATGATGAAAGGGAGAAATGGAGCAAAAAAGGTTGTAAATCACTGATCTAGAAAATTACACACCGATTCCGTTGGGTTATTTTCCTTATGTTATTTTTTCCTTTTTCACGTAGAATGATTTTGCAAGATGTCTTATCGACCGCATACCTACATACATTATACCGTACCTTCCAGTTTACCGCATTGGCACGAGATCGAAACGACTCACACGGATTGTAAATCCATGCTTGAAAATAAAATAGACGAAAAGTGAAATTCGAAGAGATGCGTGACAAAACCGCGTTCAAATTGAGATCAATCATTGTCAAAAGTGTCGATTTTAAAATGATTCGCAACACGAAACGACCACACCGTCGAAATATTATTATCCTAACAAGTTGAAACGACCAGAGCGCGTGCCCTCATCCTAAATGCATACCGAGTGCATCGTCCCGAATCTAATCCACTGATGCGCTCTATTCCAATAGAAAACAAAGCCGATTTTTTTTTTTTTTTTAACGTAAATAAACTGTAGTGACCAATCAAAAGTAGTCGAACTATTTTTTAACTCATTTTCAAAATACAACAAAATTCATTTTTCATAACTTGATGTGAAATTGAAAGTATCGACAGACTGATTTGAAATTGATGAATTTATCGATATTGTTCAGGTAAATATCGAAAGAAATGTTTAATCTTAACAGACAAAACCAGACATCTCTGGCCTCTATATTGATCAATGTTATCGTGCCTGTGGTCACTGCTACCGATCTCTCGCCATCATTTACTCTCTTTCTAACAAACATGCTGCCAATAAATTTTACAGTAACATAGCACCATCTGTTTCGCATTTATTACCAGTTAAGAATTTTCTATGAAATATTAATATAATATAACTGCGATATTTTTTTCTATTGACGATTTTTATTATAGTATAGGAAAAGTTTAAAATTCAACTTACACTTTACACTATAATAACAATTTTTATCTAAATTATAATATTAACAAATTTAGAGATTTTATTATCAAAATTTGTATCTAAATAATACTATTCCGAAAGCTTAGCTTAAATTTTATGTTTTAATTAAATGTTCAATCCATTAAAGCTAGTTAGAAATTAAACCAGCTTCGCATTCTATATATTCGCAAAGAACAAAGCGATATGAATGTTTGTTTGGAACTAGAATGGTGGTGCAAAATCAATATTCATACCTCAAATGACATTTTCATCTGTGGTTGTTATCTGTATATGCAAACTGTAATAGTTGGTAAAGGCATCTCTCCTAATATAGACTATTAATAGAAGTGCATCTATATATATATATATAAAAAAAAATTGTATACTATGCGTACTAGTTATGCTATTTTAAAACGTAATCTATAAGTATGTTAGCACACATTTAAATATTATTCTATTGATCTTGTAACAAGTATATTCCAATTAATATATAAATAGTAAAACTTTGTGTGTGTGTATATATCTGTATATGTTTCATACATTTTGCTGCTTTTCATTAACGCGCAGAATTTACAGAGTCAAAAATTTGATTGAAACATCTAATTAATTTTTCAATAAATTCAAGGTATACAAGAAAGCACTGTGGCCACCAATCAGAATGTACAATTATAATTATAAATCTAGATTAACTAGAAATATTGACCGTGAGAAATACAAAGTACACTTTCTATCGTAGAAAGAATAAATTAGCTGATGCTAAGTTCTTTAAAATGTAATTATATAGAAGATCGCAGAGAATGATGCTGCCACTTCGTATGGAAAGGAATATCAAAGACTTTCTCTTTTAAAGTTGAAAATTATAATTATGGAAGGAAAATGAATACATTTTCTTACTTTTAAAATATTTATAAATGACTTACATTTAGTATACGTTATGAAAATTACTTACAAATTTGTTTAAAAACTTTAACATAGAACGATAAAATATAAATGCCACTAATTATTACATTAAAAACCAACAATAATATAAATAAAAATAATCAACAAGAATAATTAATTATAAAAGTAAATCCAAGCTTATGGACTTTATAAGTGATTAAAAGTATAATTTATTAATGTAAGTATAACAGCTGTCAAAGAAATAAAGATAATTATTGAGAATTTCAAGCAGAGAATCACGCACGATACCGATCATTATAGAGAATGTCCACATCATCACGCGGTATTGTAAACACTTATGTATAGGAGTAACGATCTATTTAATCAATCAAATCAAGGCAATAAACGAATTAGATATCGCGTGAAGAAGAAGAAAAAAAAAAAAAAAGAAAAAATAATGCAACACAAGAAACGTCGACTACTTTTATTACCCAGATTGTTATAGAAAACTAGGTTATATATAGGATATATTAAAATACCTTTTTAACTTGAATATGCTCGGATCTGAGATTTTCAACGATCTCCTGATCAGATTTAGTTGGTTGAGGCATCGACGAACGGAAACCGTCGAGCACCCCTTTGATCGTAAACTTCTTCATCTCGAGCTGATGGTGACACCTTGGACGATCACATGTGCGGCCGACGTGCGGACAATGCGTTGTCTTTCTTTTCGCGTTACGACCACGACGAACTCTTTACCGAAACTTTAATCGCGACTTATTCCGAGGACAAAAAAAAGAAATAAAAATAAAAAGGATTCGCACGATAGTAAGGAAAAACGATGTTTTTCTTTTCCTCCTCCTATTCTCCTCCTCCTCCTCCTTTCTTAAAATTCTTCTTTCTCTACCTTGTCATTCACGCACGCGGAGAGAGAGAGAGAGAGAGAAAGAGAGAGAAAGAGAGAGGACCGAATAAAATCCTGATGACAGATCTTTTCTCTTGCGACGTTGCTCGACTTCTCTTTCTCCCTCTCTTATCTTCCTTCGTCTACTTGTCTTTCTCGCTCCTTCTCCCTCCTACCCCCTCTCCCTCCACTCTATTTCTTTCTCTCACTTCCTCTCTTTCTCTTTGTCTATCTATTCTGTATACTTTTCTCTTCGTTCCCACTCTGCTCTCCCACCTCTCTCTCTCTCTATCTATCTATCTATCTATATGTTTATTTATCTATATTATCTATCTATCTATCTATTTCTTTCCCTCCTTCTCTTTTTTTCGCCTTTTCACCTGAGGAATTATCGCGCGAGAGAAAAAAAAAACGTAATCTTTTTTACATTTTGATATAGAACGATTTAACGTGTGTTTTCGATTCTCATAAGAATGTTGGTCAAGAATATCGGGTAGAGTCTCGGTCGACGGAACGTACACGACGTGAATATAGGCACGTTCGCGAATTGTACTCAGCCCGTTTACGCGGATATATGATATTTTACGAACGCGCTGCGTCGACGGAAATTGTTTTCCTAGTTGACAGCAATGCAGTGTTGTTTAAGCGTGCCAGGATCAATAACTGGCAACAGCCTCATGTGGACTTTTGCACGACCGCGAACCTAGTGTACGGCGCAATCGCTGTACGAAACATTATGTCCCGTTCTATCGTTTGCACTTATCTTCTTCCCTCGTTCTTCCCCCTCTACACATTCCTTCGACCTAACCTCCTGCTTTTCGCTTCGCTGTTGCTTAGCGCGTAAGAAACGTGCTTCAAAAACAACGTCTTCGCATTGGTCGAAAACTTATATTCGACAACGAATCATCGAATTTTCCAGAAAATATTTACATATAATATTACTCCTATCTTGTTCTTTTTTTTTGTTTTTCTTAATTACAATAATTACATTTTACAATATACTTACATATTTTATTAACAATTTTTTTCTATTTTAAATATTCACTCGCAATGAGAAATTATTTTAAAGGACAATTCTCAACGCACCTTAAGAAAAATACGCTCGATACAAATGCTTACTTCTTTTATTGGTTTTAAACGCGAATGCATTAATCGACGGGAATCTTTCTATATCTGTCTAAAGATTGGTCGAAGGCTTTCATTTCATTTACAATTGAAATCGTGGTAATTCAAATAATTATTATCGAAGATTATTTAATATAATTATTTTTTATCGAATTTTAATAATAAGAAATTACAAAATCTTCATCATTTTAAGTTATTGAATTATAAAGATTTATATAAATTTGAATAAATGGAAATATATATTTCAATTGATATTTTTTTATCTTTTATCGAACACACACACGCATCATAAATGTTTTATATTTTATTATTTTTTTATCGAATTAATTTTTGTTTTATTCGTTATAGAGACAATATATAAATGATTAACTAATTATATTCACTTTGATTTATAGTAATGAAAAAAAAAAATTACAACTACTGAAGAAATATGGACTTGTTGATTCATTTCTCTCGCCTTATCGAGATGGAGTGATTATGCAACAAATGTTATTTTTAAATCAATATAAAATGAGACAATGTAATAATGTGATATATTTTCTATTCTTTTCTAATAAATAGAAATATATATGTACACATATACTGCGCATATAATGTTTACACTTGGACAATTATATTTATTAAACTAATGATAATATTAGTAATTATAATAAAATGTGAATTAATGGTTAATTCTGTGAAAGTTATCATTTGAATAGAGGTATAAACATTTTGTCTTTTCTTTTTTTATTAATTAAATTTATTATAAGTATGTTATTTATCCTACAAGAATATTCCTTGTTCTATCTTTGCAGTGATATTCTACGCTGTGCGGTATGTTTATAAACATAGTATTCAAACATGGAAATAAATTACGACGAGGATGTATCTCAAAATCCATTTCTAGAAAAACTTAGGAATTATTACGAACCAACTTTACGATTAGCTGCACACAAAGGTTGGATTGTCTGCGTACCTCGTTATGGTACTTTTACAAAAGATATTTTATACAAAGAAGATGTAGAGGAACATATTTTGATACCGGATTATGACATGTCAGAAACTTCATTTCGTTCTTTAAGCAATAAAAATGTCAAGCTCCAAAATAGAATATTAACTATAAATTATGAAACATCTGATTCATATTCTTTACGTTTACTTTTTGAGGAGACATTTTATAATAATGGTTCATGGAAGTATAAAATATGGTAAATACAACTATATTTTCACAAGATTATTATATGTTTAATAGTAAATTTGCATTAAAAATAAATTGAATCTATTTTATAAGTATATATAATTTAAAATACATTTACGTATATTGCAGGTGCATAGAATGTCCTATCAATTGTGAATCGCTATCGTCGTATAATCATTTGACTATAGTAACGAATCTACAAGATGCCATAAATTTACTTTGGTCTGAAATTAATGAAAAAATGTGCAATACTTTAGAATTAAATTTAAAAGAATTTCAGCAAATGTACTCAAACATTGAAGATACGCCATTAGAAACATTGAAGGATTCCGTCTTTCAATTATATTCGAACTGCATTGAAATGATACTGCAGGATAAGAAGTTTAATGATACAAGTACTACTTCCACATATCTCATTCAAAATATAAAAATTGCAGTTGAAACATATATATTACATGCATTAAGAAAAATTCTTCAAAAATCAATATCTATTTATATGGCTGATGATGATGCTAATTTAAATAAAATAATAAGGAATTTAACTGACTTAAAATTTGATGATTTAGGAATAAATTTAGATCTATGTACCAATATTCACAGAGGAAAATTAGAGTTATCGCATATAGTTTGTTATATGACTGTCTTAGAAAAACTTCAATGCCTTAGGAGAAGTATTCGTTATATATCTCAAGGAGTATCTTCTATTTCATCGGATGATTTACTACCTATACTAGTATACCTTGTCATCAAAACTAGTTTATCAAATTGGATAGCACAAATAACTTTTATAAAATATTTTCGCTTCTCAGCAAGTAGTATTAATGAAGCGGATGAACTTGCCTACCTAACAACATCTTTAGAAGCAGCAGTGGAGTATATAAAATCTGGTGCATTAATGGAAAAAAATAGAATTAGTCAGATCTCTGATTCGGAACAAAAACTACAAACTGAAAATGAACAGCGCACATCTTTGGATTATTTATTTACATGCATAACGAAAGGTGATTTATCAGAAGTAGAAAATTTATTATCATCCGACCTTATCAGCTTGTATAATCACATTCCTTTATGTCACCCATTGTGTACTTGTGAGTCTTGTGAAGTATCTTTAGCTAAAAATCGTCTTTTAAATCGACCAACAGTATCCTCAAAAAACGAACACGGTTCAACTGCCCTACATATAGCCAGCTTCCATGGAAAAGTAAATATTGTAGATTATCTTTTAAATCATGGAGCTGGCACTAACATAACTGATAATGATTTACACACGCCTCTTCATTGCGCATTGATGAAAGGTCACCAAAATATAGTATTATTACTTTTACATGCAAATGCAAATCCTATAATAGTAGATAATTATGAAAATACAGCATTACATCTAGCTTCTGATCGTGGACATGAAGATTGTGTAAAAGCTTTGCTTTACTTTGCAGAACATACAAATTTATATCTTAATGTTAATTCTCCTAATATTGATGGTGATACACCACTACATCGTGCATCTAAGTGGGGATACTTAGGTATCATAGAGGTTCTTCTAGAATACGGAGCAGATTACAAAATCAAAAATAAATGGGGCCAAACATCTTTTGATGTTGCACAAGGTGAACGAGTTAAAATACTATTGCAACGTATTGCACCAAATGTTGTAGTTCCTTCTACCATAAAAGTTCATCATTCATCAACAATTTTACAATTATCTTTAAAAACTGAAAATAAACTAAAGTCTAAATACTCATCTGACATGAATATTAGACAACAAATCAACAAATTATTTTCTGCAATTAGCGAAGGCGATATACACTTAACAAATTACTACCTTGGATGGAGTAATCAAAATGAACAAATGACAGTAAGATCAGATCTTTGTCATCCATTATGTTGCTGTGAACGATGTGCTCCAATGCATGAATATTCCGAAAAAAAGAATAAAATACCAGCAGTAGTTTTTAGTTCTTACAATGATAATGGCAAAACGGTTTTGCATGTAGCGTCTACTGTTGGATCTTTAGAAATAATTCAATTACTTCTAGATGCAGGAGCGGATGTTAATGTAACAACAAAAGTTGAAGGCCACACTCCATTACATTTAGCTTGTTCAGCTAATAAAATACAAGCGGTAAAAATAATTTTAGATTGTGGAGTATGCAATATAAATGCCAAAGATTCTAACGGAGATACTCCTCTTCATTTAGCAATTAGAAATGTCAATATAAGAATCGTTGAATTGCTAATTCGAAGTGGTGCTAACACAAATATTCGTAATTTACAGAATGTAACACCGCGTTTACTGCTTGAAAAACAAAATTCTAAAGAAGTTCTTAGAATATTAAAATGTGACTCTTTAGAATATCCAAGTCATTATTTATCAGGTATTGATTGATTCATTGATTGATAAATAATAAAAGTGTCATCATTCTAAATTGATCGATTTCACTAAAGTGATTAAGTTATTGTCGCATTAATAGAAATTATTAGAAATTTTATTCTATTGCTATACTGTTTTTACATTTTATTTTTATATATTTACATTGTGTACATATTTTGAACATATAATTTACGTGAAAATGAATATTAATTATTACTTTACAATTTTATATTATTTTACTGCAACTCTGAAAAGTTACGACTCATAGTCTATGCACCATTATTCTAAAGGATTCTGTATTTAATTTTAAGTTATGTGTAGCAAGTGCCTTTTATCTTAATATTATTTTTATTAAGTACTTCTATAATTACTATATTATATCAAATTTATTCACAGTGTACATTCCATCATGGCATTTCATAGCATTTCATTTGTACTTTTATTTCATTTATAAAAAATTATATTGACATACACAGATTCATAATTTAATTATTTTCATTTGTTAAATGTTGTCTAGATAAATATTTCTCAGCCGATGATTTACAGAGAAATACTAGTAGTCTACTAAATGTTTATAAATTTGTTTATATTTATTAAATATTTTTTTATCATTTTTGAAAAACTATATATATATTAAATTTGTTAAACGCTACAATAATTATATTTTACTAAAAAAAAACACCCGCTCTTCCTTCAATTTTTTTGTTCAATATTTTATTTAATTCTTAATAAAAAAATGTTTCATTTTTATAGGTCTGCGGTATATATACTCGAGTTACTTGATTAAATTTTTCTACTTCTATAAATTATTAATAATTATTTTAGTCATGGTTTCATCAATTAATATTTTTTTTACATGTAGGGTTATTTTGTAAAATCATTTAGTATGAAAAATCACAGAAATACGAAGGCATTTTAATGATCATAAAATGATCATTAAAAATTTAGAAATTTCATTGAATATTGTATAATGTTACGCTTATGAAAAATTTAAATAACTTCTAGCATAAATAATATAATAATTTTGCTGCAATCTGTTATCAACGTAAACAGTTACACAATAATAAATTGTTAATAGTAAATTTATGCTGCCAATCGTTCAACAATACAACATACTTATTTTTTCCTTCGCTAATATGTACACATTATTTTCTCAATAGTAATATATAAATTATACAATTGTATGACTGTACAAAAGAATTCAATTTTTAAAAAGAACAACTTATTTTTATATGTCTCTTATCCAATCATATCAAATTGCACAAGTGAATTTATATTTATCTGTGTATGCGCACATATTGTATATGTAGATTAAAACTGATTAAGATACTAGCAATAACTTATTGTAATGACTATGAAACAGATATGTATCGAGTCATGATCAATACGGAAGTGCCATCTTGAAACGTTTATAAGTTCAATTTTGGTTTGCTTTTATCTAACAGGATTGCATTCTTGTTAGTTATGCAAACATTAAAATGTTTATGAGATAAATTTTTTTTCGAATATTTCCTTGATACTTAGGAAATAGTTAAAATCTGTATAATAACAACATATCAGTAATCTAATTGTAAGAAAAATTAATATTATTATTATTTATTATTTAAAAAAGAATAACTTATCGATATAAATTATTTATTAAATAATTAAATAAATAATAAATGATTAATTAATTTCTTACATATTTTATTAAAATGTAAAAATTTTCTTTATCTCAGGATTATTATTAAGATTAAATCATTGTAAAAAATTAACAACATTTGTGTAATTTTTAATCTTTCGTATCATAATCAGTCTCTCCCACATAAATATTTGTAATAAATAATAAAATTACTTAAAGTGATGGTAATACCAACGTCGATGATTCGACAATTTTTTTTTTTTCTTGCTTTCTCCTGTATCCTCGATATCTACCTCGATTTGGATTCCAATTAACAGTCCCATCTTGTACTTTTTGTGGTGATGAAGGAATCACTTCTTTTTCTTGTATTTCATTCTCTTCTATTTCGTTAAGATAAACAAAATTATATTGTACATGGTAATAACGCTTTAAAGTTGGCTCATTACGAAACTTTTGCATTTGAATCCAAATGTGACATAATAAACATGGAAATCTGCTAAGCCAATATTCCGTAAATTTTTCGGGAATTTCACCTAAACTTTTTTGCGCAGCTGGCATTAATTCTCTATAATGATGTTTCTGTAAATATCAATCACAAAATTATACCATATTTTTGTTATTAGGCTTTGTAAACTATTACATATTTATTAGATATTATTAGTCATTTTGATGTACCTTATTTCGTAATGCTCTTAATAAGTCTCTTACATTATCACCATGATAACTTCTATACTTTCGAAGATCCGCCGCTACTTCATTGTCAATATGCATTCTCCAATCTCCTTTGACAACTCGTTGATTACCACTTTCAAGAGCTAACAATACTGGACTATCAAGTTGTTCTTTCTCAACACGATCACTGACATCCTAAATTATACAAAAGATGTATAGAAATATATTAAAATTCTATTATATAGGTATATTATTCTTATTATAACAATAATTTTACATACTTGAAAGAAACTAAGTACTTGATTAGGATTCCAAAATAATGGATGATTATAGACTACTGTAGCTGGTGGTCGTTCTGACGGATCTTCAGAAATCATTGCTTTTATAAGGCTTAATGCTAATTCTTTATCACTTTCAGATATTTTATGTAACGCTGTTAAATCACTTTCCCCACCTATAATACATATATATATATATAAGATATTTAAGCATTGATCTAAGATCGTATAGATATTTAGATTTATTAAAATATTACAAAGTATGTTGGCTTGTCTTCTTAAGGAATCACCAAATGGATGTTTTCCATCAGAAAGAACATAATAGAAAACACAACCAAGAGAAAAAATATCAACAGCACACGTCGTTCTTTCTCCATTTAGCATCTCTGGTGCTATCCAACCATCTGTTCCAGTTACACCAGAACGTCGCGAGAATGATACACGACCAACTTGTAGCTTCTTGCAAAGACCAAAATCTGATATCATTGCTCTGACTTCTCCCCGTGGTCCAGGAACCGATAGAAGGACATTATGTGGTTTTATATCTCTATGAACTATAAATATATAATAAGTAATAGCTAAATATTATAAAGATTTTATTAAACATCAAATGAAGAATTACCAATATCTAAAAGATGTAAATGTTCAAGTCCTGATGTAGCCTGTCGTAATATATTTTTCTCTGATATTTTTTCTCTGTCATATTTTCCTACTACGTAATCTTGTAAAGTAGCTTCTGCTAATTCTAAAGCAATATATCTAAACATTCTATCATGTTCTGTGCAAAAATATCGTACAACGTTAGGATGTTCGTCCGATTCTCTAAGAAGTGCTACTTCACGATCAGCTAATGTGAAACAATCTGGTAATAATCGCTTAACTGCTACTGATCGGCCATCAAATTCACCTCTGATACAATTATAATGATAACATATAATAAGAAAATTCTCATAAAGAGATAGAAGAATTAAAAATATAATTCTTTACTTACTTATATACAAATGTTCCCTCGCATCCTTTACCTAACACTTCACTGGTATTAAAAGTAATCTTCCCCACCCTTACTAGACCTTCTCCCATATCTTCAGGAATAACAATGTTACTACGTTTACTATTACTGTTTGTGCGACTATTTTCTCGTGAACCCTGAAGATAAATCATTTATGTTACAAAAAAAATATGGATAAATTTAATCATGTTATTTTCGTAAAAATTAAAAGTTATTATATAATAATGAATTTTATAGTTTTTCAAAAATAATATATAATAATCAATATTCAATGTAATATCACACACCTGTGACAGCTGTTGAAATTCTTTAAATTGTGCATTGAAATACCAAAACATTGTAACTATACATCCAACAAGTATAATAAGTGCTAATTTTAATCCTTTGTTCTCTTGTTGATTAAGCCACTTTTTGCTTGCTCTATAGCTTTCAGCTAAAATTTTATGCCAATTTCCCTCTTGAATTCCATCATCAGCTATTGATGTATTATAAGCTAATGTAGTTGGTAAATGCGTTGTTAAATTCAAGGATGATGTTTCTATTGGAAGTACTTCAGAACTTCCAGTAATTTGAAGTGGTTGATTCTCAGAATTATATTCCGCTGGTATTTCGTAATAGCCTGTTAAGTTTAGGAAAATTCCAAAACACAATAATGAAATTATTCGCATACATTCACTATAATTATTATCATATAATCAAAATATTCATGTCATGATTATAATTAATCATATTACCTAATGTGATAATATTACTTTGCGGTGTAATACTTTGATACTCATCATTAGCAATATTGATATTTCCAACAACTATATGATCCCCGAATAAGGGAATTCTGTTATCATTTTTATGAATCTGTGCAATTGTTAATGGCCCTTCTAGCAACAAATATCCTGCTTTACTTGATATAGTTGCAGTTGTTGAATCAACTAAAGACGGTAAAGCATAAAATCCATATTCATGTTGTCCGATATATAATGTAGGGCTAAGAAACATGAAACAAATTCGATATAATAATAACACATATTTTAATATTAAAAACTTGAGGAAAGGTTACTCACAACAATTGAATATAATTTGGTTTGGTTACAAAGTGTTCTAGTAAATTATCTAATGTTCCTTCTGCAACACTAGTGAATGGTAGAGTTAATAGACCATCCTTAGTGACAGTATAAGTTGCTACAACTGGACTTTCTAAATTTAATTGCCATAAAATTGAGCCTAGCCTTTTATCCAATGTTACAACTCTGCCTGTTGAGCTTGTAGTAAAATGTACTAAATCTATAAAATGCGTAATGGTATTATTATTATTGGAATTATATCAAATCTTTATTACTATTATCTCTTAATAATTATTAACCATAATTTTCATCTTCATTGTTCTCCATTTTCGCTGCAGAATAATCATAAAATGTTACATTCCATTGTCTATCTTTTTGTTTACTATCCACCATTATGATATTATATTCTGTGCGCCCGATAAAAATAACATCTTGAATTTCTACAGGACATGTATTTGCTACGTTATCAAAACCTAAAACTTGTTCTCTTCTACCTGTCCTAGGATCAACTGTAAACCATGTATCAATCTTTCTACCAGTATATAATATACCATCACTGCTACGACAAGGACTATTAGCTACTAATTGTGGAATAGTAAAAGGTAGTTTTTTAAGAGCTTCTGAGTCTGTTCCAAATAAATATAATGACCCATCTTTTGGATCTGGTAGAAAAATAGGCCTAAAAGTAAAATTTTCTATTAATATTTATTTAAAAGATTTCAAATATGTTACTACAGTATAGGAAACACAATTTATCACTTAAAAACAAAATTACGTACATTGCAGTTTTAGAGCAATTAATTGGTACTTTGACAAGTGGTTCTATAACAAAAATGAAGATAAAGATAATATGAAATAGAATAAAAATTACATTGATATATCTGACATGATATTTTATTTTTATGTAATACCATCATCCTGTTTCCATCGTATTTCACCAGACCTTTGACCGACTCCAATTAATGCACCATCCAGAGTAGAAAAAATAATAAGCGGGTCATCTTGTTCGCAAGCAAGTCCAGTATTGTGATTCTAGATACAGAAGATCAATTACACAACCATCTTTATTTCTCATTAAAAGAATTCAAAATAGTAATAAAAAAAACATGAATTAATATAAATGTTTAAGTAAGTTTGAATTTGTGAATGCCATCAATAGATTAATATCCGATATAATATTAATAAAAAGAATTGTACATTTCAAAAATGAGTTACTGTATACTGTGTGTTTACACAATGGATTAATCAAATATTATACATATGTGCATACATACATTTATTTGAAAACAAATAGATAAATCATGTTATGTGAATTTATATGCATACACACCTCCTGCACTTGTTGAGATGCAATATTTGAGAAAATCGTTGCGGTAATAAAATATAAAAATATAATTAAACGTTCGTACGCCATATCAAAATCGGCGTTTTAATTTAGGAGTAAAAGCTAGGTTATGTCCGACTCCTTGGAAAATATAAATTTTATAAAATATTCTGACCACCTCCATACAATAACAATAAAAGAAGTGATACACTGATTGTCCATCAAAAAATCTATTAATTATCGTTTAGATTTTAGATATGAGTTCACAACTTCAACGTTTTTTAATATCACTGACACAATAACAAAAAAACTAACATCATCCTTTGATCCCGAATAATGTTTATTACTCTCTTATACTTCGTGTTTTCATTTCGTTAACAAGTTATTCGTTAAATAAAAATTATTTTAACAATTTTTACTTATAATTCTTTATTGTCATAATGATCCACCTCTTTTTCGTAAAACTAGCAACAAGTAGCAGTAAAATCAAGGCGCGCGTCCACGTATTGATATTTAAAATTCGTACTAAGAATTGCAAAAAAAAATAATCCCTATTGCGTTTATAATTATTCTATGACATTATAGGATTTTAATATCTAATTTTCATTGATTGTGATTTTATACAAAGATATTGTAAATACAAGAATAAATAATTCATCAAAAGTGTTCTATCTATCGCAGAAAAGTTGGCATAGAACCTCAACAGCAGAAAAAAATGAATAAGTACTCTTAATTGCACATTTAAGATCTATAATTGCACACTTTATTAATTAATTATTTAATCAGTTATTAATAATTGAAAAAACAAAAATTTTTTTTCTCATTTCTAAGCAAAGCAATGAAGTTTTCTATTATTTTTTGTTTTCAATCAATTGCTGACTTTTTGTTTGTCCGGTTCCTCAACTTTATTTTATCAAATATTTTTTATTTATCGTTAATTAGTTGAAATTAATTATTAAACTTTGAATAATTATGAAATGGCGACGTCATAAGTGGGAGATATGTTATACACATGCGCAACCACAAATTGAAGTCGCAAGCACACTTGGAAAAAAATGAAAGTAAAGTTGGTATACCTGCAGGAGATATATTTAAAGTTAATTTCCAAAGTAACAACCTATAAAGTAGTGAAAAGAAATAAATTAATCATTCATAATATATAAACAATAGGTAAATATTTTTTTCTGCTGTTGCGGTTCTATGCCAACTTTTTTGTGGTGTACGCTACATCTGTCTTTTTTATTGCCGAAACAAATTTTTATTGTTCAAACAAATATATTTATTTTTTTATTGTCGATAAAAAAGAATTTTATTATGAAAAAGAGGTAATGTATATTTTTGTTTACATTATTTTTATGAATTGAGTATAAGACTAATGCAATGATTACACAAAAAAAATCTTATTCTCATAATTAGAACAGTCGATATACATAGGCTGTGAAGATGGTTTCATGAATTTCTTCAATTACATTAAAGCGTAATTTTTTTTATAAATTTTATGGCTAAGGAAGAACCTACATATTTCGAAACATTCACTCCTTGATACTGATGATACGTAAGTGAATGGTATCTGATATCTAATCAGCCTTATACAATTTTATTAATAATATATATAAAAAAGAAGTTATTTCGCTTTTGTAGAAGAACGAGACCTCAAATTCTTTTTAGTTGCTTGATCCACTTCAGGTAATTCATCATCTTCAGACAAAGTTGATTTTTTACCTAAAAGCACAAATTATTAGTAAACACCAACTGTAGATATCTATAAAACTCAAATATCTATCTTATATTATATTCAAACTTACCTTCCTTTTTTTTCAACTTTTGTTTCGGTTTTACTTTCGTAATAACAGGAGTTGTATTTTCTCGAGCGCGTTTAATTTGTTTCATGACGAACGAATGTAAGAGATAAATTTGGAAAAATACAATAACACTTAAGACAATATACTGTACAATAGGAATATTGAAGTTACCGGTGGTGTAATCAAATGAACTTTCAATTTGATTGAATCCATATAAGAATACTAAAACTGCAAGTACTAGAGATGCGATACGAACAAACACATATACTGAATTCGCAATCAGGAATGATACTGTAAACAAATTTATATATATATATATAACAATATTATTTTTAATTAATATATGCAGAGAGAATTTAAATGATTTATGCAAAACTCACTTCTCGTTGTATTTTCTTTCTGATTAACAAAGTGATTAATTCTTGCAGCATGTAGTAAAACATCTCCAGTATAATGAAGGATAAGTAAAATGACGGTTACTTGTTGGAAACTGTAATAATCATAATAAAGAATTAATTATATTGATATAAAGTATTTAAGTATTTCATATGATGAAATTATAACATTATCATACTTCAAAAAATAGGCTGCGAAAGTGAAGAACAAGCCAATGGTGGTAAATATAACACGTTGTGCAATATCTTCTTTTTTTACTCGTTGAAAGTATAATTCTGGATAACAATGTAACCAGTAGGAAAGTTGTCCAATAAAAAATAGTTTTAAGGAGAACGATAAGAGTACTGGATAATCAGTCCATAAAGAAGTTATATTTAACAATAAATTATCTCTGAAACATTAACAAAGTTATAAGTACAGGTATTCTAGTTAAGATAATGTATCAAATAAGAGATCTAACTTTTTACCTGATTATGATATCAATGCCCCAAATAATTGAGAGCAGATAAAATACTATCAATTGACAGGATTCATTGAACTTTGCGAGTTTTACTTTACTTAAGTGAAGACGTTTTGATATTTTCTGCAAAGAATAGAGTAGATATTTTATAATAAAATATTTCTTTTTTATACATACTACATTTGATGCATGAATACTTACATCGAATATGTATTCTTGGAATACAGCATGCATTACAATAGTTATTAAAAAATAAAAAAATACAGCACATGCATCCTTCCAACCAGTCGTATATTTTAGTGGTAATGTTGGATCATTGGTAATTGCTGTAGAAACATTATGATGTATGGCAATAAACGTATAAGCCCATGGTGACGTGACCTGCAAAATAAACATTTACAAATTTTAAACTTTAATAAAAAATGTATGTACATTTATAAGACTATATTTTAAAAATTCATATATTTAATACAGAAGTAATTATATAATAAAATATAATAAAATCAAATTTTTTTTAAATATTTGATCATAATAAATATAAATTTAAGACATTACATTCATTAATAATTCAAATATTAATTAAATTCTACAAATATGATTAAGATGAACCGAAGACATTAATGTCAGAGAGTAACATATGTTCATAAGTTACTTACTGTCAAAGTCAAATAATTTAATTAAAACATTTCATAATTTTTACACAAATTTCGTGATTTTTATAACGCATAAAAATGAATTATTAAAGAAACGCAAAATAATAAACAATTGAAGTTAGTTTAATGATACAGTAAAGATAAACCGAATAATACGGACACTGACCTGCATCATTAAACCGATTACAAAAACCATAGCCACGCAGGCGACAATATCCGCGTGATTTTGAATAACAAATTCATGACTGAATATTGGTGGATTTTTGTTAGAATTTTTTCTTCCTTTAATCGTAACCATTTTTAGAAAAAAATCAATTTACTTTAGACGTGATAGTTTTGAATTGTAGCGTTGTGAGCGGCAACTCGTTTCACTCAACCGCTCACCACCGCACTTTGGCAGACTACTATCTGCTACTAACCACTGTTCACCACCTTACGTGGCTCTCGGTTTAAAAACGTTTTGACCACGTTCAACCACGTTGTCGATAAGAGGTGTACTTATGTTTTAACAATCATCAACTTTAGTTTCCTTTTTATACGTCATGCGGAGCTAGTGTATTCGAGTTAATTGTTAACCATTTTTAACAGCAGATGGCATGCACCTAACACGACACTAGCGAACCTATTAATAAATGTGCTATTATAAGTGAACTATATTATACCATATAAGTCTGCTTTTTTGTAATTTGCAGCGATCCTGGTGAATTGTAGAATTTTCCGTTATTTCAATCAACGAGACAAAGACTACAAGTACGTTATTATTGTTCTTGTCACAAAATCATTAATCATATAATCGGATCATATATATTTCTACGTGTGTGATTAATTCATACTTAATAGAATACTGTTAGTCTTACTTTATACAATAAATTTATTTATGTTATATCAAAATTGTATTGTTGACTTAGCAATAGAATAATTCTTTTGCATTTTATTTATATTACTTTTTCCTTTTTTCATTAAGGCATCGATAAAGGTACCGTCCAAGAGGGCTGTTCAGCCTTTTTGATATCATGAATGAGTCTAGGCAAAGAGGTAGCGATATGGAAGTAGATGATAATATTATTGCTCCGGTAGAAGTACCAATGGAAGTCGATGAAGATACATCTGAAAGAGATCCTAATGCATCTGCTAGTCTTGCAAGTGCAATGAAAGTTATGGCATCTTCTGGTACAGTTGGTTCCGTATCTATCAGTTTACATCCTTTGGTTATCATGAATGTTAGCGAACACTGGACTAGGTTAAGAGCTCAAGAAGGAACCGAACAATTAGGTATCTTGATCTTGCATTAATTTTTTTTATAACTTTGAGCTTATCATTGGATGATTATAATAACAAGTTTCTTTTTCAGTTTATGGAGCGTTAATAGGAAAACAGAAAGGACGTAATATAGAAATTATGAATTCCTTTGAGTTATTATTTACATGCATTGCTGATGATGTTATCATCGATAGGGATTACTATAATACAAAAGAAGAACAATTTAAACAAGTCTTTAGTGAAATGGACTTTCTTGGGTGGTATACTACTGGAGATATGCCCAATGAGAGAGATATTAGAGTACACAAACAGATTTGTGAAATCAACGAAAGTCCGGTACTTTTAAAATTGGATCCAAGACCAAAAAATACAGATGTAAGAAATACTTCATGAAATTAAACCGGTTCCTAAAAAATTGAAAAATATTCTACATATGTGCTGTACCTTTTATTACAGCAATTATCTGTTTCTATGTATGAGTCTGTGATTGATTTAGTTAATGGAGAAGCAACTATGCTGTTCGTTCCATTAACTTATACGTTAGCTACGGAAGAAGCAGAAAGGATTGGAGTTGATCATGTTGCCAGAATGTGCAGCAATGAACAGGGAGAAAGTTCTTTAGGTAAAATATTTTTTGCTTCTTATAAATTCTATTCCTTTATATTTTAAGGTTTTATATAATTTTTATTAAATATCTTAGTGGCAGAACATTTGGCAGCTCAACACAGTGCTATTAAGATGTTACATTCGAGAGTAAAATTAGTTTTAAGATACGTGCAAGCGGTACAGAATGGCGAATTAAAAGGAAATCACGAAGTTTTAAGAGCAGCCTGTTCTCTTGGATATCGTTTACCTGTGTTAAATAATCCTAAATTTAGAGCTGATTTTTATAATGTATGAATTTAAATATTTGTATTTTTTTTCTATATATTATATTTACGCAAATATATAATAATTTATTTGTATTTTATTTCAGCAATGCAATGATTTCGCTCTGATGACATACTTGGGCATTATAACCAAAGGTTGCAATAATATAAATCAATTTGTAAACAAATTTAATATACTATATGATAGACAAGGTGTTGGTCGGCGTTTGCGAAGTTTGTTTTTTTGATAAGTGAATGGAACATTTTGTTTTTTATACTTTCCTTTTCTTACACCTTATTAAAATAATAAACTCAGGATTTTTTGAAAATGAAATCATCAGTGCAATCGGTGAGTAAATTTTGCAAAATAATGGAGTACATTGTATTGAATACGGAATAAAGCGCTAAGCAGGTACACTCAAACTTTAGTTTTATAAGTTAATCGACTGAAGTAAGACGTTTCACTTATATGAAAAAAAAAAAAGAAAAAAAAATATAGCTAAACGTAATAATGAAGAATATTTATGATACTTATAAAAAATATTTGTATACCTTATTCGTATGCTTTGATTTAGAAACAATAAACCAGGAATGCGGTATCTCATTAATTGTGTTGTAGGATATATTAACTATCTCTAAGATGTAAAGTCAATAAAGCCTGTGATGCATTGTGTGAATTATATTGCTTTACTTCACATTCAGTTTTGTATTATGTTATAAATAATATTGAAAGAACAATTTGATATAATCTATCGAATATTAAGTAAAAAACATTTCATATGTCGATTATGTAATTGCATGTAAGTCGATTTATAGTGAAATTTTGTTTAAAATTAATTCCATTAGGCTTTTCTCTCTTATTATAATATAAAAAATAATAGATACTTTTTACATAAGTTTATACGGTTGCGTACGTTCAATACAAACATAATATAATACGTTCAAAAATGAGATACATATAAATAGTACATAAGAGAATTGTTTAATGAATACTTTCACTCGTTGTTTTGTAATGGAAGACCTCGTGTTAATAGATGCATTCTCCTTCACAGGCTACATTAATGTCTATTCCATATAATTAGATGTATACAAATTATTTAATATATAAAAGCAGCCTGTATATTTGTTTATAAAATATGACAAAAAATTGTTCTAAAATTCTATTCATTGTTGCAATACCTTAGCTGTAGAAAGTTGTAAACCGCAAAGATTATTCATCAAATGGGAAATTTTCTGATCAATACTCTTTCACTTTTTACACTTTATTTCTGAGATTGAGGCTTGCAACCTTATTTGCTAAAATTGTTTATTATTCTTAAACTAGAGTTTATTGTATTGTGCAGAGTTTTATTTATAGTAAAAGCAGTATCTTTGATTATTCTGGATGAAAAAATCTTATTCATAAAAGCGTAGAGTTCGCTTTTAAAATATCACTTTGGGAGTAAAACTTTGTCTCATTAAATATTGATATATCTGCTGCAAAAAATAGAATTTCTTTTTTATTTTTATAGGTGTATATAAATTTTGTGAAATATTTTTGTTATTTTTGGACCATATGGTTACAAATTGAGTATAGATAAACTTATTTTCTTTTAAACATAAAACATGTTTTGGATTTGTCTTCTTTCTTTTTTTCTCCTTTTTCTTAGCTTCTTTTGATATTAACGTGACGTTTTTCTGCTTGTACTAGCAATTACTCTTTGTGTTATATTTATATATATATATAATGTCTTACAAATTTTACTGTATAAAATATAGATCAGTATATATCGTGTTTTATTAATAATTATTTGCAAATATGTTTCATTGTATAAACAAAGAATTAGAATTGACATGTTATACATTCGTGTTACTAATATATCATATTGTACATCTGTCTAACTTTCTAGTTGTGCTATAGTTATTATCATTTCTTCTTTTTCTTTTCTTTTCTTTTGAATACTGTTTTTTTATATATTCCTATATAATCATTAACATTTTTTTCCCTGAAAAAATGCACTTTTTCATATATTTACAGAAAATATCAGAATATCTACTTTTACTTCGATAGGGCTATTTTGTACAGCTTGTGCAGTTGTGAGACATTGTATTGATATGCTAAATGATAAAGTATTTCGTTTTGATCATTGATCATTTTCATTTTTAAGTTTAGTCGAGTTCAAATCTTGGAAAGATAAAGTAGAAAAAGAAGTTACTTACTTTTACGCGATTCTTTCATTCCAACAATTTTGGATAAGAATAATAATGTTTTATTTGATGTTTTATAAAATTGACAGTATTAATGATTTTACATTCTAATTGTTTTATTGAGATTATGTCAAGGAATTAAATTATAGATTATATTTACAATGGTTTTAGTTTACCAAATTGATAGAATGTAAGAGTAGAACGTAAGTAACATCTTATTCGATCGTATACCTATATAAATATCTTATTACAATTCTTAAGTTTCAATTTTTTTCTTAGACCTGTTTTTTTCTATTATTATTTTTTTCTTTTAGTACCATATTCATTTCGATTCATTGTCGTCAGCTATTGACATTGTATTTTGTTCACGCGACATTAATAAGCTGTCCTCTATCATAGTAGCAAGAATATCTACTAAAACGGACAGCATTTGGTCAGGTTAAGGACTCAGCTTGTCCATGCCAATTAATTCTTCAAAAAGATTACTTCTATTTTCTACCCTTTTTTCTATTGCTTGTAAGGAAAACTTCAATGTAGCTGCAGCTAAATCACCTACTGACCATTGTCTGTCTAGAAGAACTCTACTTATCGTATCCAACTAAAATGTAAATAGTATTATTACTTTAAAGTTATTCTCTTCGTTTTATTTGAAAAATATAATTCGATTCTTACCTTAGATAAAGAACAATTTCCTGCGGTGTAATAAATTAATCTTGGTACACCTGCTAATGAAGCTGCTAGCCATTGTATGACAAGCTTCAATTGTGGATCACCTTTCAATCTTGACCCACAACCCCAATTGCCTGTTGCTACAGACAACAATCCGCCGATGTTTGAATTATTCTCTCGAGGTATCTATAAATATAATAGTTATTAGATTATTTTTTGATTTTATTTACTATACATTTGCATAAAAAATATATTACATTTTCATATGTAATATAATTTTATAAAAAATATATTACATTTTCATATGTAATATAATTTTATAAAAAATATATTACATTTTCATATGTAATATAATTTTATAAAAAATATATAGAATTTTTAAATATTGTCGTGATATTGTATGCAAGTGCATTGACATGCAGTAAATGAATATTTATGGAACATAAAGTATCATTGTTAATAAACTATGAGACAGTACATAAGAAAGAAGCATAAAAGGTAATATTTAGTTTCCTAATTTAAATATTGTGGTTAAAGTATTTGTTTTTCGTAAGCAAGCGATGTTCGACTATTGTTCTATGTTTTATCGAATTATTGAGCTTTTTAGAAGTTAAGAAGATAATTACTAATTTATAAACGATCGAAATATATTATCTTAATTTTCACAAATAAAAAAAGCACATTGTAAGGTAGATAGAATGAGAGACAGATAAATGTTATGTTAATTATTAAAGACTAGTTTTTGCTGAAGCTAAAGCAGTGTTTTTAATATTGATCATGCACGAATAATTAGTATATGTTGAAGTTCGTTGGTTTTTTCTTCTTCTTTTAATTAAAAATTGATATATTTGTCAGATTTAAATTACATATCTTTAGAGAGAAAAAGATAGATAATCGAAGTGATAGGCATCAGATAAAAGTTTGAAATTGTCGACGTTATTACGTTCATTTCATCATGCGTTAGATTGTTACATAGATATTTATGTATACTAATTCACAATATCATTATTGTGACTCTAACTAAGAATAAGTCTGCTCACTTCATTTACTAAATATTGTATGGACTTCTCTATAGGATTTCCATGCGTAGTATTATTGAAATTAGCTGATTCCGTAATATTATTATCATCAGTTCCAGATATCTTTCTATCTATAGACTTGGGTAGGTATACAGTAGTATAATCATCGACCAAGGTTTGATATACCTCAGAAGTGAATGCAACAGCTCGCAGTTTTCTGCGTTGACAATCCTTCGTATCCTTTGTTATTGTAGCCTCATCGTTCAGAGCATCTTCGTAATGTTCTATGTCTTCGGATTCAGTAACCTGTATGGTACAGCTTTAAATGTGTGTCTAATAAAATTTGAAATCTAACAACTCAATATTCATTTGTCTAATTTTCTCATTGAAATTTTTGCTTATTTTATTTATATTATAATTACGGTTATATATAAAAAAAAAATAAATTTTTATTGTCTCTCATTCTATCTCTCAATGGCGGTAGACGATTTAATCGAATGGAATTATTTTTTTATCATCTATTGAAAATAATAAATTTAGTAAGAAGAGAATAGACTTTTTACCGATTGTTGTCTTCTGCTTTTCTGACGTGCCAGTTCTAAACTTAAACTTCTCACAGCTAAAGCTAATTTGTGCCTTTGATTGATATCAGTCGAATCGATGAAAGGTTGTGGTTCACCTTCTTGAAGTGGAACACCTGCAAACGATTCGCTTAGAGCTCTTTTTAATAAAGAACCAGCGAATCTAACAACCGCTCTGTCTCGTGCATCCAATTCCCGATTTTCATCTGCTGCGATTGGATCTTCCAACCATTTTGATAATTGCTCGTAGACTTCTTCTAATTCGGAACAGAAGTCTAATAGAATAAGAATGAAAAATGTTCGATCAACGTATCGAAAATATCAAAGTTACATGTTTTGTATAAAATGTATTTTGACTTACCAGAATTATATTCGGTACTAAAACTATATCTACTACTAGCATTGGTTTCTTTTCTTTGAAACGCTGGTGGTTGACTTTGTCGGAATCTACCCAACCATTTTTGCTCTGCTTCCAAAGACTCTTTTAGAAAATCTTCGTCGACCGTTTCATCTCGCAAAACGAATCCCCTTGAACCTCCTCTTTTGAGCCTGCAACATTCGGTGACACAACAGTAGTTAACTTATTAGTAGCTAACAGATTGGATTATTTAAGTATAAATAAAAAAGATTTACTTGATATCCTGATCACAAACGTTACTTCCTGTGATACTTATCCCAACAGCGTAACTGCTTTCTCCGGAAGAAGTATTGGAAGTAGATGCACCAGTAGCTGTACTTTCTCGCTTGAGAGCTTCTTTCAATCTTTGTGCAAATGTACCTCGTCTTTCGGGTGTATCCAATTGCGAGCTATAGCGTCTTGTTAATTTTTGTTCTTCTTCGTCTAAAATTGATTACAAATTCTAATCAAAATGTTAATTGTAAGCGAATCCCGAGAACAATATTCGTTCTTCTACGTACCAACTTCTTCGTCCATTGTATCTTTTGCACTATGAAAACTATCCGTACTTTGACTATTGCAACTACTGTAAACAGACATTTGACCAAGTGATTTCCGAGTGACTGGTAAAACTTCACCGCTAGATCCAAGAACGATGAAACGATTTTTCTTGTTCGTACAACTGCTGTCCTTGCAAACTCTTCGAGGGCTTGCTGATCGAACGAATTTACCGTTCGGTTTTGTTCGAAGTTCAGTACCACTCGGTGATTTGCTCAATTCACTAAACGTCGTTGTTTCAGCTGTTACAATTAGTAAATATAATAGTTTAATCTAAATTATAATAGTAGGCATTACTAGGAAAGTAATAGTTTAAATTGTTCAATTTCTAACCATCTTTCGTGCCATCACCAGCCTCGTAGAATTTATTTTCATTCTCAATTTCAGGTGGAGTGCTACTAAAACTTTCACCAATCGGCGACAATCTCCGAGCTCCTAAACTCCCATCGGGATCTAATTCAGTTTTGATTGGATCTGTTGGGCTACTCGGTACGTGTCTTTGTCGGAATCCTAGAAGAGACTTGTTCATTTCTCTCAAAATGTTGTCCTCTTCGAATTGAGTTAACGGTAATCTCGAATAATCTTCTGGATCTATACAGCAAATGGTTACCTTAAAAAAAAAAGATAAATAATTAATTCAAATATTTTTTAAACATAAGAAAACATATGTTTATCACAATTAATATAATCAATTACAGTATTTGGTTTGGGAACAGCTTCAAATATTGCTCTGTTATGGGGATCGTTTATGATAGATATACGCCTAACATTTTCGACTACCAAAGCTTCGTTATCCTCCAAAGCCTCGACTGACAAAATTGCTGCGATCATTTCTGGATGAGTTGCTATCTGGAATAATAGATATTATATATTATGATTGATATTACAGATGTTATATACAGATATATAACAATTATTTTTTTCGTAATTTGATATATATATACTTATTTAATTAAACAATTATATTTATTTACATGTATGGTTTCTTGTGTGATATCACCATCGAGTATTCCACCCCCGAATCTCGCACTTGCGAAACAAACGTAAACGGTTTCTGTTTCTTGCCTTCCCAAACGACCTTCATGACGAATCGTTAATGGACAAAGTGGTATATTACTTTCGAGCCAATCTTCAATAGTCAACCATTGCTTTGATGTCATTACCTACGTACAAAAAACATAAGGGATTAAAATAATTGTTCTCTTTATTATTTCCTTTATTTGTTTGTTTATCCTGATTCATATCATTCTTAACAAACGCACTTTCATTTTACCTGTCTCGAAATAGTAACTCGCCCATCCAAAGCATCTTCGTTTTCGAGATAATCGTAGTAACGAAATATGCTTCTCAATTTTGCCTTCTGACAATTCCTAAAACATAGCAATATCTTCGTTAATATTTCGTCAATAATTATTATAATTATTTTGATTGGGATTTGACTCACGTGTGCAGATGTTTGAAGAAATTAGTGAAGTTGAAATCTCTTAAGGTGGGGTGTGTCTTTGTCGTTCTTTTTGGATACGTTGAGAAAAATGCATTAGCGATGAGAGAAGAGACAAAAGCGTAGCTGTACTCGACGCTATCTCCTAATAAAAAAAATATCAAATTACATTCTGTTTAGGTACATGTTTGTAAATGATCGCAAATGTCTTATTGAAATATTAGAAAGTATTTTTTATGTTTTAACAAATGTATTTGTCTTTTATTATTTTTAATTTTGTCTTTTTGTTAAATATTGTATAATTGGTTACCTTGTTGCTGTAGGCTGTAGTGTAAGCCCAGAGGAGGTTTTGTGGATCTCAAAGATTTAGCTCTCTCTACCATTCGTGGTATTGTTTTAGTGAATATTTGTTCCCGCTCGTTAGAGTCGAGATCCTCATCGAGAAATTTCCCTAATCCTGTAAACAACTCGGGGTCTTGAATGTCCTCTTCGGGATCTAGGCTTATGCTGAAACGAAAGTTTGCACTATTGTTTAAAATAATTAAATGAAATAGACAAACAAGCGCCACCTTTCGTAAAGCGCGAAGTAGAGAGCTCGTTTATAACTTCCTTTAGTTGGATCGTTAAGAATGTTTTTTTTTTTATTATTCTTTTTCATAAAAGATTCGCGAATATCATTTTAAGAGGATCATAAAAGATGAGACACTATAACGAGATCCTTTAAACGTTTCTCTAATACGCAGACGCGACAAGTTAGTCGTAAATTTTACATTCTTTTAAGCAGTAACATCAAACAAAATAAAATACAGGCGTGAGATCATCGACCGAATATAGTTTCGCGTTTGTGTGCATTGTCGTATCTTCGTCGAGTTAATTTTACAACTATGTCACACACAAACGGAAATATTATTATAAATTAAATAAAAACAAAAGATGAACATTATTTCTTCTTTTCTATCTATTTTTTTACAAATATTTTTTATTCATTGTCAGTCATTTTAAATAACGTAGAAACATATCTATATCTACGCTTGTATTATACGCAAGTACACGCGCGTGTGTCCTTCGTGTGTTTTTATTATATTTAATGCTACGTAATATAATACAATAAGATGCGTAAAATGTCACGCTTACTTGCACATGTCGTGCAATCTCTGCATCGCGTCCAAAAGATCCGTGGAGTTTTTGGCGAGTGCTGCTCTGTCCAATTGTTTTACCACAGCTGGCCACCATGGTAGGTCACAAGGAAGCATAACTAAAGCCATTGTAGCTAAAAATCTGTTGAGAGAGAAAAAAAAACAACAAAAGTTGTTCGTCATTTCGTTTAGTTGGAATTTTTTACATTTTTTGCTTCTCACCTATTCAAATGATTTTCTACTATTTAGGAAACACTATTAATAGGACAAAGATTGATCACGATGAACTGTTCACACCGTGAAACGCGTATTTTCTAATCGTTTGGATTTACGAGACATCACGATTGTCAGTTAACATTTTCTTTGGCATCTAGCCCACGGTGAGTTGTGTTCTATTTCGTATTGACCTATATATATATATATATATATATATATATATAGGTACATATATATATATATTTTCTATAGATATTATTATTGTATCGCGAGAGTGTGAATTTCTATCGTAAGAAGGAACGTTTACAGGCAGGTCTACGAAGGTGCCTATTAGATTGCAACGATGCTTAGAAACGATATCGACCCTTTTTCTCCCTAGCTTACCCTCTTGTTAAGGGTCTTTCTCGGCAAAATCTTTACTTGCTATGCTATCGTAAAAAATAGTCACACCAAAACTTAATACGACGATAATAATTCTGATAATAATGATAGCGATGACAATGGCGACTACGATGTTAATTAAAACGATTTCTTAATCCATTTTTATTATAAAACTACTATTATTAATGAAACATATTTTTTTATTTAGTATAATAAGAGGTATCAGATCTTATCTCTCAAATTATTTTGGACAAAATTTGCTTTATATTATTTATCTTGATAATATTGCAAAACAAAATTTAAATTTAATATTATTAATTGAAGCTGTTTTTTCTATTTATCTGCGAATTAATATCATAAATATTATCTTTTTTAATTATTCCTTTTAGTTGTTGAAAGTTTTATTATTTATTTAGATGAATAAATAAATAAATAAATAAATAAAAACAAAGAAATGCATTTAAAGGTCCGTTTGATCACATTACAAGAGTCTTCTCTTCTTTGGTGAGTCGAGAGGGTGCGTTACGTCCCGCGACATTTCGTAAATTCTACGCATGCGCGATGCACGTTGATATATAATTAGGCGCTTTCTCTTGCAGCAGGGGCGAGATGGACGTCGTTCGAGGTATAACGCACCGCTCCTCTCTCGATTTATTTTCTCGAACAGGGCATCACCCCGTTTATATAATCACCTTTCCTTCTTTATTCGCCGGCACTTTTACACATGCACACACTCTCCCTCCTTATTTCTCTTTTTCTCTGTTTATTCTCGTTTGCTCTGTTCGATTCTTCAAAGGAAGAAGAAGAAGAAGAGTCAGATCTTGAGACGCGTTGTCGCGGCGCCGCAAGGCACGACGCTCTGCGACCAACTTCTTTTTTGATCATTCACACGCCTGTACATAGTTGATATTTTTTTCCACCCCCTTCTAAGCGTATAAATATTTTTCTTTTGTAATCTTCCTTCTGATATCTCTCTAACTTTATCACAATTTGTTCCTCTCTCTCCCTCTCTCTCCTCTTCTCATTCTCTTTTTCTATCTCTCTCTTCTTTTTTATTTTTTTTTTTTTTTTTAATTTTTTTAAATATCTATATGCTATCACAAATTTGTATCTGTTTTATACCAATTGAATATCTTCTTTTTTTTTTTTAGGACCCTTCAAACTTTAGGCCGATCTTCATTTTTCTTTGATTGGAGTCACTATATACTTCTCTTTAATTACATTCCGGGAAAGAGGAAAAGGGTTAAAGCCAAAGGCATGGTATTTAATCTGAGCTTTACTTAAGGGCGCACGAAAGAACGAGCGCACTGCCACGGATGTTACTACTGCCGTTGTCGTACGTGCGTACGTCGTTTTCTTCATAGGATTTTGCCGGTCCCCGTAAACCCGGACTATCTATCCCTTCTCTTTCTTTATTCTTCCATTTCACCACCCCGCTAACTCGTTATTTATAGAACGGCGTCGGCGCCCTGGACAAAACCCCTATATGTATACAACTCTAATTGCACAGTTTCAAACGTTCCAGCCTAAGTAATTCTTCGTCGGTAAGGTCACTGCTTAACTAAACTTTCTACTTTATCAACACAGGTAAGACAAGAAATCATATTTTTTATTTATTATGGAATTTAAAATTACCGTAGGAACACTGACAAGGAACCTTAATAGCAGAAAAAAATGAATAAGTGCTCTCAATTGCACATTTAAGATATTTAAGATATTTTTAAGATTATCGATCAATTAAAGTAGATTTCTATTTTAACAACGGTGATAGTAAATTTCAGTTTATTTGCGGCCAATAACGATATTGAACTCTGTCTTGCTGATATGACATAATTTAAGCCAAATAAATTGTTATGGGAATAGTAACACATTTTAATATATAAATATAATACAATTTTATTATAAATAATATATATATATCTTATATAATTTTAATAATATAAAAAGTATATATTTTTAAAAATATTTATTGACAATATATAAAAAATACAGCTGGAAGCGAGAAAGAAATACCTTGAAGGATGTGGGTAAAAATTGCTAAACGCATATATGTGTCCTTAATCTACACAGGTAGCTTTCACTGGACGTATAGATGCGTCGTAAATTCACATAGATAGCTTTCGCTGGAGGCAAATATGCGTTCATAACACTCAAAGGGATAATTGAAAATTAAAGATTACACGGAGTTGTGAAGATCATATGCATTAACGATTTAATGTCACGTTGGTAACTAATAACCCACATTAGACTTGTTATTCAGACCGTTGTGGTTTTTTTTTGAAAAATAATATTTCATTAAAAAGTACTTTATAATATCATTAGTTCATGCATTATTATCATGTGTAATGTAATTTTCATAACGCAGGCTTTGAATGGGACGGAAGGTTAGGGAAATATAGATTGACATCCAACAGTGTTTGAACAACAGCATTTTAATAAGATTGAATTTATTTAGCCAAACTGTTAGTACATTGAAGTAAACCCAACTACAAAAGGTCTGAGTGCCGTTAGAGAAAGAGAGAGAGAGAGAGAGAGAGAGAGGATGAAATGAAATTTACAGTAAATCAAGTTCGTTAAAGTGGTTCTTAGAGAGATAGTCCTAGTTACATAGTTATAGCCAGATTAAGTTAACATTAGGGTCGATATATTTATTCCTGTTCTGGATGTGTTAACTGGTTGAGGGTACTCCAAATGCGCTTGACTGAATGTCGCATGTCACTTAGTTCGGTTGACGAAGGTAGACAATGGGGTAGGTATCTCGGTCGCCATAATTTGAATATCATCTAACGTTGTCATGACTAATAATCCTCTACTACTGAATTTTCTTTTGTCTACAAAACAATTATTTAACGTGTGTAAGTTATGATACTTTTTACGATATAATTAGATGATAATAAGTACAGAGTGAGCCAAAAGTTCTTGCATAATTTAAAAAAATTTACCACACCTGTTAGACTTTTTCTTTTTTAATCATAAAACTACCTTTACAGTTCTAATATATTTAAGATGATCTAGGAACTTTTAGCTCACCCTGAATACTTATGCTTAAAAAACACGATAAACTTTCAGATATGAAGTAATCAAGAAAGTTTGTGCCAAAAAAAAAAATAAAATGAAGAGGGAAATAATAAACAGAAAATTATAAATGTATTTCTTAGTAGTTTACACGAATTTAGAGAATGTTAAAATAAAACTATAATTATAGATGTTGCATCATTTGGATTAAAATTAATAGACGACACATTCGTTTAGTTTTCAATTGAAAATTCTCTTATTTGGAAGATTTTTGTATCATTCGTCTTACAGATATATCCTGTGGCGAACATTTGGTCAAGCTAAGTAAAAAAGAAGAAAAAATATAAAAAGAGAGAGAGAGAGAGAGAAAAAAGAAAATTCCAACGAATCTTTGATAAAAAAAGAGAAAAACGTCTTGTACTCGTGAAAGTGTAGGAAAGAAAAAGCGAAAAAGAAAGGAAATATAATACTTCTGAGTAAGTAACGACGAAGGAAGGAGTGAGAGCTCGAATAGAAGAAAATTGTTGGAAAAAGGGAAGATAAAGACGGTCGAAAGGTGCTTCTGTGCATGCTGGACACGCTCCACGTCCATTTCTTCTAGCCACGTTCTACGCAACGTCCATTGGTCGGGCACCTAGCTTTATTAAATTCCCGTTGTGCAGTACCGTCCGACCACTTTTACCTCGACTCGCGGTTCAAACAATTATCTACGCGTTCCTTTTAATCTCGCCAATCGTTTCGACGTTCGAGATGGTAAGACCCTTCATTTTTGAGTCTTTCAACGAAATCTTTCGTTAAAATTTTTAATATCTTTTTTTTTTTTCTATTTCGATTTAATCTTCACATCATTATTTTCGATATTTGATTTTAATCTAATGTGAAAAATTGTATTAGATTAAAAATTGGTGAACGTCGACACATTCATCGATTTGTTGTTTGAAAGAATAAAAAAAAAAAAAATAAAATGTTCTTAGCTCTATTAGTTTCTAATAGAAAATCGTCGAATCTCTTTTACGGTTCGAATTGAAAATATACACTTATGTAAGAAATTCTGCGTTAGTATGTTGTTTCTGTTCGAGCACGCCGTGGAAATACTTCTCCTTCCGTCTTTAATCTAGACTAAAGCTAAACGTTATGTTTCCTACGTGTTCGTGAAAATCTTCTCGTTCGGTTGACTTTAACCGGCTGAATCTTAGTTGGGTTTGTTCCATTTCGAAATACCCGAAAAAAGGCAGACATAATTTTATCTTTCGAGTCTCCTCCATTCTTTTGGTGTATGTGTATGTGCGTGTTCTTCTTTTTTTTTTTTTTATCAATTTAAAGTGATTCGGGGTAAAAACGAAAGCAAATAGGAACATAACGAAAAGTTAGTTTCCCGTTGATACGTACGAAACTAATAAAACTACAAATAAAATGTCAACCAGGGAATTTTATTGAAAAGATTCTTTTTTTTTTGTCGGAAAATAATTAAAAATTCACTGAACAATGTGAGAAAACTACTAACTCGTTGCGATGATAAAAAGAATAGAGAAGCTCGAAGCAAGTTTGGGAGGGAACAAAAAAAATATTTTCAGAATAACTTTGTTTTATGGGTTGCGGTCATGACGAATGCGGTTTTATGCATTCGTGATAATCTTCCTTCAAACCTGTTGATATGCCATTTCGAGAGTTCACCATTTGTTTTTCCTACAATCAAATCGTTATTAATACATTGTTGATAAGTTTTTACAAATATGAAAAGAGTAATTTTCACATGCATCACGATCATCCATTTTAGACAAATATATACTTGTTTTCGCAATGAAATAGAATTATTATACAAATTCAGGAAAATCGATAATATCAAATTATATTAAACACCATGTAACATAATAAATGATTTTATAGTAACGACTAACATAATATTGGGTTGGTAACTAAATGATCCTTCCTCTTTAAAAGTAGGAATGAAAGAGAGAAAGATTCACGAAGGGATGAAAAAATGAAAAACATTGAGAAAATAAATATTGTTGTTTAAATTCTTAATTGATATTAAAATTTGTCGATTTTTCGGTTTTCAACTAAGCGAGGGTGTTTATTTTAACAAAAATCCGAATAATTGGCACATCAAAAATCAGCACACCGAAAGATTGGCACATTTTACATTTTTTTTAATAATTTCTTCTTCTTTATAATTTCTTTATATATATATATTTACGTAAGTATTTATTTATACAAAGAGATATATAGATAGATAGATAAAAAGAAAGAGAGAGAAAGAGAGGTCCTCCGGGGACCTGTAGATTTTTATTAAAGTAACCATACTCACTTAGTTGCCAACCAAAAAATCCTCAATTACTTAGTTGCCAATTAATAATTATATAAAATTTATGCACGTGTTAATACAAGTATATACTCTCGTCATGTTTAAACAATATTTAACAAAAATCAATCAAAATTGAACGAAATGAATTTACCCTTATTATTAATGATCGTTAATAATATCGATAAATTTCTCATTAAATTTCATTATCAACTTGATCGTTTTATTAGTCGTCGAACGAATGCAGGATTAGAAAATTAGCCTATTATGTTATTAAAATGTTAATTATTCAAATTATTCACTTGAACCCTTTGATTATTGCTACAAAACGTATGAATAGTTATTATTCTTTTAAAACTCAATACTAGTTTAATTTTCGTTCCAACAATTTCATCCTTTTCATCCTTTTATTGTTATATTCTTGAAATACGTTTGCCACGCATAGTACATAGGTACAGAAATATATGTATATATATACATAGAGCATATGTAGTACATTGTTCAATTTGGCGTATCGTGTCAGTCGTTCGCGAATGGATCCATTGCCATACAAATATTGTTTTGTTGCAATTTCGAAATAGTCTGGGTAGGAACCTGGTTTGCCCGCATTGCAGTTTCTAACAGTACTAGCGACAGCACTACTATTAGCAGCAGCACTAACTGCACTAGCACTAGCACCAGCACCAGCATCAGCAGGAGCAGGAACAGGAACAGTCTAGGGTGGCAGACACATAGACGTAGTAGAACGAGTTACATCAGCTAATTGTTTCTAACTGGATTAACCGACGAATTGTATGAATGTAAAGCCCGGTTCGTATCTCTGCAAGTCTCTCACCGCACCTTTCCACCATTGTTCTTTGATCATAAGGGAAGTGGGTTGAGCTTTAGACTCCTTTTCGGGAGATTGCCTCCGGTTATTCTTGCCATTGACCTGCTACTAACATGAGACCTCATACAAAACTTACTTTTCGTTTCATCATTCTAGAGATAATAAGTATTCTTATATTATATATTGTTGTTATTCATTATATAAGATAAGTAAAAAATG